TTTTTGTCCCAAGCAAAAATCATCAGCTTCCTTAAAAAATAATTATATGATGTAATTAGTAGTAGTAATGAAAACCTTTTCAATTAACATTTGTTTTGTTTTCCTTCTAATTGCAGTAATATTTTAATGTGAATTCACCTAACACATTTTTTCTATAGAAAGTTAGTTACCTTTGTGAAATGTTATTTTGGTATACACACAATGTATTAGTGGCATAACCTTCATATCTGGCTAGGGTTTAGTGTATTTAGTAAAATTGTGTGTAACAAAATACTAGCAGATAAAAATATAGCCAATTCCTGATTAAAAGGGGATAACGCAATATTATGGTTAATTCATGGGCAGTAAAAAAAAAAAAAGTACCCGATATAATAATCAATAGAAAAATACTGTTAACTGTTTTCCTTTATTTTGTTGTTAAGCTCTTTAATACAGAAAATAAGTTCATTTGGGGATGTAAATTACATCTGGCATTCAAAGCAAGAACTCACTGTAAATAAACAGGAGAATAAATATCATTAGTTTGGTTTAGTTTATTTAATTATGGCAAAGCACACTAGGGCTATCTGCCTAAGGGGAGGGATGCCTTCGTGGAGGACTTTCTAAGGGAAACTGGCTCGTATACACGTTACCAAAAACACAAAAACGCCAGCCCAGCCCGTTCGCGGGATTCGAACCTCGGATTGAACTACCATTGTTCAGTGACTTTACTGCTTGGCCGCTGGTGGGCTAAATATCATTTGAAAAAAGAAACTTAATGAATTAAAGAACAGTATATATGAGAAAACTTGCATGTAATGCCATTAAATTCAGTCTCATGTAAAAGGTCTATTAAAAATATTTATTTTTTATTGTACAATGTGTTATATACAGTACAAAGTCTGTAATCCGGACTCGTCGGACTTCGGCGATTCTTTGATTAGGGTTTTTTCTGGATTATAGACCATCCATTTAAATCTGGTAAAATGGCATGCAGAAATTCTACAATTAAAAATATGAAACCGTAATTTATGAAATAAAGAACAATTATGATCTAAAGGGTATCAAAATCTACAAAAAGAAAAGCTTAATATTATGTTTACTTTATAAACATTTTCTTCAATGTAAGTTGCTTCGTTTCAGTGATAATACTTTCTTAATTCTATAAACAGACATAATTCCTGTTCAGTTACAAAAGTCCTGTCAAGTCCTGTAATTGCGTTCGAAATACGAAACTTGTCAACAAAATTTTTTGGTTTCATACGTTCTTTACTTTTTTCACAGGAGCGCGATGGTGCTTTACTGCTTTCCACATGCGTAAGTTTGTGGCTTTGAGGTCCGGATAGCTTGATGTATGATTGAGCCCCAAATTGCATAGCATAAGGGTTTTTCATTATTGCCCTTATCGGGGCATTCTTCGATCGTGTGTTTTTGTCCACATCAAACACATTTGGGGTCGTAGTTACATCCTGATTGAGTGCGGTTAAAGCCTTGACACCGATAGCACTGTATCGGGCCCTGTCTATGCCAAGATCGCACAGATGAGTTTCGTGATATATGCGTTTCGAGGTATTTTTTTGGAGCGTAACGAGGAAAAGTGGAAGCATAGTGACTCCCCCCCCCTCTTCGTCATGACATTTGTTTAATATCAACGATGCTGTATCCAGGTTCATGTAATTCAGTCCTGATTTCTTCTATTTCAGTGGTAAGTAGAAGTCCATTAATGACCACTTTCAGGTTTTTATCCTGAGGCAATACATAGGAGTGGTGTTCCACTTTTAGTTCTTTTAAGATTCGGACAATACCTTTGTAAGTTTCTGGGTTACTGGTCGTGACTTTAATTCCTCCTTGAATTCAGTTACCTATGACATCAAATTTGTGCTTATGGAATATCCCTTTAATATTACTCCAGGTAAATTTAGACTCAGTAAGTACTATTGGGGGTACTATTATTTTTTTTGTACATTAACTGTGACAGTTTGTGCAATATTTGCGTCAGAGTTGTTATTTTGCGTGTCAGGTATCTGCGCGTCAGCGGCAGTTGTATCCATATTAATGTTATCAGTTTGCAAATCATTATCCGGTGTAACAGAGTTACTTGGTAGTATTCATCAACAATATCATTTGTCTTGTTTCGTTTGAATAGAAGGTGAAGTGATCTGAGTGTGTGTATCAAGCCATAATTTCTTAATACTCACCCTGTTGTGTTTAGTACAGACTGTTTTGTCCCCATACTTGTGCCGTTTTTCATCTTCAGAACTAGTGTCCTCATCTAATGTTTTTTCATGCGTATCACTAGTGTCATAATTAGCGTTTAAGTTGATTGGGCTTCTAGCCCTTTCATCGTCTTCAAGACTGCTATTAGTGCTGGTGTGAGCAATTTTCTGTGGTCATTATTTTTGTCCTGATTATTTTGCTCATGGAGAGCTTTAACGATGTCTAAGGAACTCGATAGAAAACCGTTGAATTTGTTTTCAATGTCTGAAGGGTGTCCTTTGTTTTTCTTTAAATCATCTAATTCGCGCAGTTGCGCATTGTATATATCAATTAGTCTCTCCATCGCAACGTGAAGGGAAACACATCAAAATCCAAAAATCCAGTGCCCAAAAAAGTCGGAGCCTCACACCCCGGAATGAAGCCTGACACGACGGCCTTCTTCACAGGCGAATGTGTGGGCTAAGAACACACGAGGCCCCTGACAATCACCTGAAGTGAGAGCTTGGGGGTAACTATGTTTTCAAATCTGGTAACCAAAGTCAGAAAATAAGCAATTTAAGCTAAGCAAAATTAATCTGATTTTAATGTAAAATACGCTAATATGATGATTTTAATTTGTTCGGTTATCACGAATCCAGCAATTAGGCATATTACGCGAAAATAAATCGTAATTTACTAAAAATAAAATCAGAGAAAGCATAAATTTCTTTCACAAATCATACAAACTGAAAGTTTGCATTTAAAAATGCAGATTCATTCAGATTAGACCAGGGTTTCTTAAACTTTTTTCAGTTGTGACCCCTTTTTATCACTGAGATTTTTTACGAGCCCTCAAACCCCATATTATTGACGAAAATTTTGTGGGGCCCCATAAGCATTGTGCAAATCCGAGACGCGCGTGTGTGAAACTGTCAATGTTTTCACTTGTACTGTAATATACTATTGCAGTTTTATGCCATTGGCTTTAATTTCTAATTTTAAGACAACAATTTGAAAATTTTAAATAAGTTATTAGCGAAATGACAGCGTCACGTGCAAAGCAAGTAAAATGAACGTTTTTATTATAAAAAGAACGTTGAAACGTTTTTGGTTTTTTCTTTGTCTGTATCTTCTTATCTTTATCTATTTTCAGATACATTGTGTGTGACTATTTGGTAATTGTCAAATTATTATAATAAGTTAAAGAAATATCAAAACTGTTAAATTTTTTGCCAACCGCCTGCTGCAGGTCCAGCGACCCTGAGGGTTTACCCACAGTTTAAGAAATGCTGCTTTAGATGTAAAGACATTGTAGTCATTATTTCTCGGTATTGTATGTAAAAATAAGAACTCCCCCCCCGGTAGGTCACTCGTATGTATTATCAATTGGTCATGATACAGATGTCCGTGAAAGACGAATTTGGAGATTGCTTCCACGGAGAATGTCATTGAAGTTATTTCGAAATCTTTTTCACATGAATATCTACGGTGATGGGCACTTACAGATGTGTTTTAAAACATTCACCAAATATCTGAAAGAGTGAAATATTGCATTCATTCGGACCTTCCGGTGATGTCGACAATCACAGATGCTCTGTGTAGGTCAAAAGAGAGGAGTAATAACGCTGACATTAAAAAGGCCAGTGCTTCCACAAATAAAGGCAGTTGTAAAGCAAGGGCCTCTTGTGAATTCAAGTGTCATAATAGTTTAATGTTATATAAAGATTTGAATTTAGGAGTTTAACTTCTATATTTTCCTTCTCATTTTGAATGTACTGTGTTTTAAATTCTTGTTTTTAAGGCTCAAGTGCGTTTTTTTTCTACTGAATTACGGAGAAAAAATATAATATTTTATATGCAACATTCACCATTATTACTGGGAATGTCGACATTACCGCTTGTAAGTCAGATAAGGATTTGGAATATTCGGACATACACCAAGCGACTATGCGAATGTTGACATTCACCGACATTCTCCAAATTTCGGTGTTTCACCGTAACACATACATATAAAATGTTTTTATTTTTAAAATGCATTAAAATTTATTTTACCTTTTAATCACCAAAAATTATCTAAAGCAACTTTTGAAGTTTATCACTTTTTCTTAGGAAATAATAAAAATTAGTGGTGAATATTAAACTGTCTGAGGTGACAACTCCACAGAAGACCGGAATGGTCTGAAACCACTTGGGGAGATTATTTTGTAATTATCTGTATTTATTTTGACGTTGTAGTAATTTTAGTATAAATTTGAATTATTTTGTAATTATCTGTATTTATTTTGACATTGTTGTAATTTTAGTATAAATTTGGATTATTTTGTAATTATCTGTGTTTATTTTGCCATTGTAGTAATTTTAGTATAAATTTGAATCTAGATTTTATAACCCTATAAGAAAGATGCTGGATCAGTAAAGGCTCCTAGCCTTTTCTTTGGAATTTAGCATAAACTGTACTTTAAAAGGCTTTAAATTTACCAAAATGTGTCAGAAGGTACTTAAACGAGGATATATTAAATATTTCTTTCTTGGGAAATTGCAAGTGACATTATCTGAAAGATCAGGAATTCTAAGTCGGAAACTAGACCTCATAAAACAGTTAATTTGGATAAGCGTTCAAAACCAATAATTGAATTCACATTTGAGGTAATGGAAATGAAATTCATGAGTGTTATTTTAAATGTATTTAGTGTACATTATTTTAAATTAAGAGAACATTTTTGAAACACCATTACTTTTTGGTATATAGGAATTGCTATTGTTAATGCTTTATTTATAATACTGAAGCATATATTTTATTAAAATGTTTTTTTAACCTTTTATAGATTACCCATATGTGCAGGAAATAACAGTAAATACATTGATCAAATTGCTTCCATTGAAAGGCCAACCTTTGCCACCATTTGTAACAGAATGGATAGAAAAAAATGAGAAAAAATTGCAAAATTCTCCCACTGAGCTTGTGCTTCGCAAGCATCTGATTTATGATGGGAAAGAATTCAAAGTGGATGATATTCTTTAAAATTCTGATTTCCATATAAATGAAATATCTGCTCTTTGCTTTATGTTATTAATGGTTGCATAAATGTTCACCACTATCTTTCAATATATGTGATTAAATTTTTTTATATTGCTATACAACAGTTGTTACCTGTATAAAAGTTATGACAAATTATGCAGTGTTTCTTAAATTGTTTTTACTTTTATTTATATAATTTCTTTCCTTAATACTCTTGTGAATATGTAAAAGATTACTGGCCTTTTAGAAAGAGACCAGTCATCAGTATACAAAGTTATTTCAACTATGTCTTTTAAAAGAACAGTGCATTGTATATAGCTATTGAATTGATGCCACAAATTACCATCCATACAAACTAGTTTTGTAAGTAGCAATGTTTATTTTAAATGTTTGTCACGGTCTAAGGAGGTATATATTTTCCCTGCAGATCTCTGTTCTTAGAATGATAAAAGAAATTATCAAATACACGACATTTATATTTTAAAGGCTTGATTCTGGTGGTATACAGAAGGTATTATAATAAATACATTGAATGGAATAATGAGTGCTAATTAAGCAAAATTTAGTTGTGTATCCCTTATTTGATATTGCATTTTGAATTTTTTTTTCAGGGGGTGGGGGTGGCAGTGGTGGAGGTTCAAGTGCTGTTTCTTTCATTAAGTGGCAGAATTCCAAGACCAAAATTATAGCAAAAAAATCATAAAAAGTTTTTAACAGGAAATGTGAAAATACTTGATAGGGGAAAGATATTTAAATTTTCTAAGGAATTTGGATTCTGTACCATTTAGGTTTGGAGATGCTTAAATTTTTGTAAGTTTTTCATAACTTATTAGTGTTTATGTGACCAAACCAAAGAAAAATGACCTATTGGTTAAATTGATTACTCTGGCACAAGGGGGTGGGGAACTGAAATTTAAATAATCAATTTAACATACTCACACCAAGTAATTAACTCACTGAAAAAGCATTAACTTTTAAGCTGTTCAACTGTTTCAAGAATATGTCTTCAATTATATTATTATTTCATTTAAGTAAAAGTTTTTTTTTCTCAACTTATAATGTTATTAATCCTCTAGAAGCAATATGGTATTATTTCTGGTATGGCTTATTATCTAGAAAGAATTCTGAGAAATGTACTTAAAATACAGTTCAGATTTGTTAAATACAATACAATGATTCATTATTTTAATTAGTTTAAGTTCAAACTGAAACATGTATTACACATACTTTTGTATAAGCATCACCAGCACTTACCCAGCTATGTAGAAGCTATTAACTCATTTATGATATCTTAGTATTACTCAAAATTGTATGCTTGAAATGAAAGTCTAAACAAATTTTTTCTAGTATTTTAAATTTACTGAATTCAAAATATAATTTAATTTTTACATTAAACAAAATTGTGTTTAGTTTATAATTTTGAGAAGTGCAAGTTATTGTAGTGAGATGATTTGTTAATAGTTTTATCTCTAAATTTCTTGATAAGTGTGAATGACTTGATGTCAAGCATTTTCACTTTGCAATTCATAACAATAGATAAACTGAAAAAGGCCTTTTCCCCCTGTAATTTTTAAGGCATAAATATAAGTGATTGAGCAGAGCAATGTATGGAAATATTTTTTTTTTAATATTTACTAGTGTAGCTTTGTATAATAAGTGTATCATATGTATGAGTTAATATCACGTTTCCATAAATATATATATAACCATAAGGATATATGTAATATTTTAACGTAATCAAAGTGTCCTGAAAATAAGCATTTCATATTAAATGTTTCTGTAGTTGTTGCATCTATTTTAGATCATAAAGTCGATTTGATTATTGTTTTTACCGAATTACATTAATGTTATTTTAAATGCATCTTGTTAATTACATTTGTTTTATAAAAAAGTTGTATGAGTGTGTGTAAATATATGTAAATATCAAATAAACGTTAGCTTCATATTGTACAGTTTCTTATCTTTATTCATATTTCCTTCTGAATATTTTTTAATTGAGCCTCTTATTTGTCAGTTCAAAGCGATAGACTTCACACTATTGCAATGAACTTCTCGCTAAAAGCCTAGTTCGCACTGATGTGATAAAAACATAGTTCTCTGATTTGCAAACAAGCAGACTTTGTAATCTTTGTATTCCAACAGTGCTATAGTGGTGACAAAAATACTAATGGAAAGCATGTAACTATGGCTAGATTAAGCAATATCCCCCCCCAAGCAGTACCACTTAATAAACATCATTTCCTAGAGTGAAAACACTCAGTGCAAAAAACTAATCAGAAACATACAAAAAGAAAGTAGAAACAGTGAACTGTGGCTAAGCAATATAAAAAGATGCTTAGACCGTCAAGAAAAGAGGGTTTCACAAAAAAGCTATTCAAAGAGGGGTACTAAAAATTTTTCCATTGCCACCCTTAACTACTTTTTCCATGAGGTGCATGTTGCAGCTAAACCAAACCTGACAGACAGAAGAAATGAAGCAAGACTGGCATGAAAAGGGAGTAACAAAACCTTTAAAATGCTTAAAGCCCTCTGGTAAAGTTCTTAATCTTCCCCCTCGCCATGCAACAAATACAAATAAATGAGATAGATACAGTAGAGAACCAGAATGCTGTATGAATTTTTGTTTTGGGGATTTCATAAAAGAAAGATTTAATGAACTAGAATAAATAAGAGATATAAGAAAGTGCATAAAAGCAATTAGTTTTTTTGACATTTTTAAAATATCTGATTGATAGCAGTAGATCCCAACTGTGATGGAGCACAATGCCCCCACATGAGTATTATTAATAGATACTATTACTATTGTTCCAGGATGCATTTAATATTAAGCTAATCAAAATATATTGTACAGCCCACAACTGGTTCTCACATGAAAAAAAATTTGTTTTGGATATATGTCATAGCGACAGATTCTCCTGCTTTTCCATCACATTCCTTAGTTTTTAACTTTTAGAATTAAACTCCTTGATTAATGGAGATGTTTTACAGCAAAAAATTAAATATATTGAATTAATGAAATTTAAATTGTTCAAATCCATTACCCTACCCTTTAATGATCTTCAGCATAATTTTTCATATTAAATTTGATTTGGTTTGGAACTGTCTTAATCTGCTAGACATTTTTAGAAATTTTTATGAAGATTCAACCGGTGTCTAATTACTTGTCTTTTTATTTTGTTTTATATCAATAAATGGTATACAGGGTGTTTTGAAACTCATTGGCAAAAATTTAAGGGAGGGTAAAGATGCGTATTAGAAATGCCTTTACATGTAAAGGTGCATTCATCCAGGAATAACACATGCACTGAAATCAGGCTGCACTGCTAGCTGTTGCAAAAACCAACGTCCAAACTTGTCATGTGGCTCATAATCTGCAATTATCAAGGCTTGCACTTTATGTACACTGCCCCCCCAGAAAGGGGGGGACAGTGCTATATCTCCTGTTCTACT